TCCATCCTCAATATGACATCCCTTCAAAGATTTAAACAGGGCTATTCTGTCCCCTCTTAACCTTCTCTTCTCCAGGATAAACATACCCAGCCCCCTAAGCTGCTCCTTAGAGGGCTTTGTGGTTTCCAGACCTTTCTTAGAGATGGAAGGGACCCCCAAGGGCCATCCAATCCAACCCAATTCTGCCATGCAAGAAGACCCATGTAAAGCATTCCTGAGAGATGGCCTTTCAGCCTCTGTTTAAAAGCCTCCAAAGGAGGAGACTCCTCCACTTTCCAAGGCAATGTCTTCCAATGTTGAACAGCTCTCACTGTCAGGAAGTTCTTCCTAATGTTTTGGTGGAATCTCTTTTATTGTAGCTTGAATCCATTTCTCTGTGTTTTAGTCTCTGGAGCAGCAGCAGAAAACAAGTTTGCTCCAACCTCAATATGACAACCCTTCAAATACTTAAACAGGGCTATCATATCACCTCTTAACCTTCTCTTCTCCAGGATGAACATACTCAGATCCCTAAGTCTCTCCTCATAGGGTTTGGGGGTTTCCAAACCTTTCACCATTTTGGTCTCCCTCCTCTGGACACACTCCATCTTGTCCACATCCTTCTTGAATTATGATGCTCAGAACCGGACACAAAGCAGAATAAAATGATGGATGAACTTGTTGGGGGGGGGAGAGAGGGAGAAGAAAGGAAAGCACTACATATCCCATCATCCTTGCCTCCACTCCAGACTTCCCATTGTCACTACTCTGCCCTACTGCTGCAAAATCTGGCAGTGTGGATGATGGAAAAGGATGCCAAGAGAAGCCTTTTGCAAAGACCCACTTCTGCTGGGCCACATATGCAATTTCGACAGCGTCTCAATATCAACCGCGGAGGCTAAGGGCTGAAAGTCTGCTTTGCACAGAACAGCTGCAATTGTATAATTCTTCACAGCTCCCTAAAATAGCTTTTCTTAAAGCCTGCAAGTTCCTGAGAACTCTCAGCATTTCCTGACACAGTTATACATCTTCTCCTAGGCAGGAAGAAAACAAAATCCCTCAACGCAACACAAAACGCTTTGATAAAGTGCTACATCTCTCTGAAGCGAGCTAGAGTCACAGCGTCTGTGTGTTCATGTGTGTGTGTGTGTGTGTGTGTGTTGTTGTTGTTGCTGTTGCGGCTGCTGTTTCCCTCTTTTGCACAGCCAACAACAACAACAACACCTAACCCTAAGAAGAAGTTGTTGTTTTCTCACTAGAGTTTAGGAAAGTTTCTCTACACTACATACCCTCCAGCTGTCTGGATTTGGCAGGAACCATCCCAATTCAACCTTTGCCATTCCACTTTTGCATGGCTTTTAAAACATCCTGGTCTTTCTCTCCTCCTCCCACTTTGTCCTCATCTTGCTTCAGTTGCTGCAAATGGAGTTCAAACTGCAAAAGTAGTTTGCACTTAAACCTAGTCTGCACTGCAGAATGAATGCAGTTTGGCACTGCTTTAACTGCCAGGGCATGATGCTATGCAATCCTGGAGTTTGCAGTTTTGTGACCTATTTAGCCTTCTCTGTCATAGAGCTCTGGAGCCACAACAAAACACAAAAACCCAGAATTCCTTTCTCTGAGAGAGGATGATTTGCCCAAGGTCACCCAATGGGTTTTTATGGCTCAATATGGCATTTGAACCCAGTGGAGTGGAGTGTTTTTATGGGATCTGAATCCAGTGTAGCGCAGTGGTTTCAATGTTGGACTATGACTCAGGAGGCCAGGGTTCGAATCCCCGTGCAGCCTTGGAAACCCACTGGGTGACCTTGGGCAAGTCACACACTCTCAGCCTCAGAGGAAGACAAAGGCAAACAAATCTCTGAACAAACCTTCCCTGCAATAGATTCAGCTTAGGGTTGTCATACGTCGGAAATGACTTGAAGGAACACAACCACAACAACTCCCAAGTCCTAGTCCAACATTGCACTATGCCGGCTTTTCTGAAATTCTTATCCCTTTTTACAATAGGTCCATTCTTCCATCTCATTTAGAAACTGGACAGCTTCACCTTTACACATACACACATACACTCAAAATTTCATCTTTCCTTGCTTCTCCTCCTTATGTCGGTAGCATTGTTCACTCCAGCTATGACAGTGTGTGTGTATATATATATATATATATATACACCTTTTCCCTTTCTTTCCTCTCTCCGTTCAACTAATGAGCCATAAATAACTCAATGAAGGTGTCAACAAAGCATGTAATTTATCACACCTTGTCAGGAGGGCACTTCTTGTGAGGAGGAGCATTCGCAGCCCAGGATCACTTCTGAAGATGTATTCCTTGCAACGGCATTCTGCACACAACCTCCTGCTCTCCTTCCTGCTCACCCCAAATTTACCTTCCCAGGTGCGTGCTTTTGGAATTATTATTTTTGTGCAAAATAACAAAAGCCACAGAGCCAGGTATTCATCATCAGAGGGGGGGGATGATGGAGGCAGCAAGAAATAAATTTGTTCTTGGGAAGAAGAAGATGGTGCTTGTGATTCATTGAGCTGAGGAGCATCAGGGGGAGATGTTGGGAGAGAAGACAAGGCCATTATTTTAAAACCCCTTACAATGGGAAGAAGGTGGAAAGGAGGTACTGCAGCTGGATGTGACTTTGGCGTCTTGGACTTCATTACTCAAGGCCTGGTTAAGGAACCGCAGAGGGAACTGACATAACCAGGGGGTGATGCTTGTTTTCCCAGTTGCTACACTTGTCCTTTCCGTTGCACAACCATGGGAAGCAGGTTGGCATCCACTCTGGGCCCCTCTGCCTTTCCATCCCTCCTCTTTGCAAAGGAGAACAGGTATTCACTTTTATGTCCCATGGAGATGTTATAGCTTGACTATTTCCAATGGGGATGATATCAGCTTCCTTGCAAAAGTGTTTTAAGCTTGCAAACTGACAGCCACCTTGTTGAAAGCAATGCCTTATTACCATAACATCAGTGGCGCTCTAAACAAATTTAACAGCGGTAGGTCAGAGTGCCTCCATCTGGCAGGGATCCAGCCAAAGACAGTTCTCTCTCTCTCACACACACAGAGACACACAATTTTGCTTTTGCTCCAAGAGGCAGCATCGATCCTTGGCAATCAAGCCTCCCTTCATACAAACAAGGCTTTTGAACTAGTTTTGTGCGCTGCGCAACTCCCAAGGCTTCTCACCTTTCAACCCTTTGCAAAGTGAAAGTCCGTGCAGTAGTGGTTTTGGGCAGGGAAGCAGCAGGGCAATTCCAAGGCGACCCCACAGCTTGGAAAAGGGACTTTTTGGACTGCAAGAATGCCGACTGCAGCAAGCTCCTCGAAAGTGGAACAGTGAGGTATGAGCTTTTTTGCAAGACTAAACATTAAGGCAGAAGCGAAGTGGTTTGAGAACTGCACTATGACTCTGGAGACCAAGGTTTGATTTCCCATTTGGCCATGAAATCCATTGGGTGACTTTGGGCAAGTCACACTCTCTCAGCCGCAAAGGATGGCAATGGCAATTCTGAAGAAACTTGCCAAGAAAACCCCTGTGATAGGTTCATCTTAGGGTCGTCCTAAGTCAGAAATGGCTTGACGGCACACAACACACAAACATTAGGAAGAATACCCTGAAAGTAATTGCTGCTTATAAATGGAATCGCTTACCTTGCAAAGCAGCCGGTGTTACTTGGAGTTTATTAAAGTGATTCAGGTTGCATAGTACAGGCAATGTGTAAAACTCGACAGAGAGAGTTTTACACGCACAATTCCCTCTTCTGTGCAAAATTAAAGGTACAAGAGCCCTCTCCAGTTTTTAATCTGGCAACCCTAAGGGAAGCACGGTAATAGTATGATGATAACATGCAGGACAAGGCTTAACCTCTTCCCTTAAGATACTGATATAGCATCTCAGCCACTGTTCTTGTTGTTTTAAATGTGCACCTTTGTATCTCCTTGCGTCACGGTCTTTCCATTGCCCTCACCTTCCACCTTAACGCTGAGCTTATCAAGAGGCTCTGACATTGACAATATATTTGTTCCTGAGCATCACACACACACAAACACACTTTGCAAGCAAATCAAAGCTCTCCAGGCGTGCTCCAGACCCAAGGATGGCTCTTGGCTTGTTTCCGTCATCTTCACCCTGAGCTTGGCGAATTCAAACTGATCGCCTGACTTTTAACACAGCGGGGACAAATGCTTTTCCTTGTAAAACAAAGCCAGGCCCCTGTTTGGAAGGGGAGGCAATAATCAATCCAGTTGCCACAGAGCCTGTAAGTGTTCATTTACCATTATGTGACCTGAAGCAATAATATATTATGTCTTTTGCCAGCAGGAACCCAGCCAGCTGCAGGACACACCGGGGCTTTGTCGGCAATTGCTCACAACAACTGTCCTTCGCCGCCTTTCCTTCAACGCTCATTAAGGTGAATTATAACAGGGGGATAGGACTCTTTCCCTTCTCCAGATCTTCTGGAGACTGGAACTGAGAGCCATGACCCAAAGCTGGCTTCTGGCTCTTCTTCAGTGGAGTGGGATTTTAATCCAGACTTTGAAGAAGTAGGATTTCAACTTGGACTCTGAAGGAACTGTCCAAGGTCCTGGCCTTCTTTTGCAGGATAGGGTTCAGCTCACTTGGATAGCAACTTTAAACCCTGGATTGTATAAACCAGGGGTAGGCAACCTTTCCCCTTTAAGGGCCGAAGGACTTCAGTTCCCAGAAGCCTCAGCCATGTCGGCCAATAGCTCCTGGGATTCTGGGAGCTGAAGTCCCTTGGCCCTTAAAGGGGAAAGGTTGCCTACCCCTGGTATAAACCCTGAGCACATTCGCTGCTCCACCGACAAGGGAGCCACCAAGGCTCAGATCCTGGTATGGTGTAAAAGCAGTTCCAATTGGAATTCATTGGGACAGGACATCAAGGAGATGGAGCATAATTTTATGCACATGGAGATATGCTGCAGTCGTGCAACACTGCCTCACTTTGGAATTGCATTATTGCACTACGAAAGGTGCCCCGTGTATGGGTGTGCATGCACCAGTGGTCAAACATGCACAATGGCACTGCACATGTGTGCACAAATATGCATCATGCATCAATGGGCATCCACAAGGAACTCCACCGTTTCAACCTTGAAGTGGATACGGCTGTTATGGATTGGACAAATTTGTGCAACTACTTCCACTGGGGAGCTTATACCTGTGTATGTCAATGAAAGGATGCCACCCCGGTCTCTTAGCTAGCATCACAACCCTGGCTGTTATAACATTGGCTGTTGTTGTTAGAACCATAGAAATTGAAGGGGTCACAAGAGCCACCCAGTTTAATCCTTTCTGCCATGCAGGAATACACATCTGAAGATTGTGTATTCCTGCATCTGAAGAAGTGGGTTTATATCCACCAAGGACACAACTAAAGCACTCCTGAGAGAGGCCTATCTAACCTTTGTTTAAAGACCTCCAAAGACTTTGTTTAAAGACCTCCCTGGAGCTCACCAACAACCTGGCCTTAAACTTTCCTACTTGTGCCATGAGAAAAATCAGCAAAAACACTGACAATGCTTTTGGGGTGGGGAGAGAGACAATTTCATATTGAAAACCACGATAGAGAAAAAGCAACAACGTATGAATTATGGGCACCATGCAGGATGGCTGAGAAAGAAAATTACTATGTTTCCTTCCCACCCTTTAAAAAGAAAATTATTTCACCTGCATATTTTGAATTAAAGGAAGAAAGGAAAGTATTCTTCTTCTTAGAGATTTCTACAGCTCAAGCGCAGCTTAAATAACAATGATTATTTCTATTGCTACCGAGTCAAGCTGTGTCTCGCTTGGAAGAGAATTGTTGGGAAGGTCAGAAAAAGAGGGAGAAATCAGAGTACAACCCAGCAAAGCCCTCTTGCTTTTTAGTAGGAAAATACAAACAGAGAAATCATAAGGACTATCCTCTTGTTCTAGTGCAATGCTGTCTGAGCTACATATTATCATCAGACCATCTGAATTTCTGCTCTGGACTTTGGACATGTGAATATCTGAATCATTATTTATTTGGGGACTCAAAATGGTGTGGATTGAAAAAGTGAATCAAACCAATGCACGGTCTGTAAAATGATGGGACATGCCATCATGGAACAGCTTTTGCGTGCATGCTGCATGCATGCCTTTTTCTGAAGCAAACCAATGGCATTATATGTAAAGACATGTTGCATGTCATCATGGAATCCTGCAAGCAAGGTGTGTGCTGCATGCATGGAACAGCTTTTGCACGCAGTTAGGATGCTTGCCTTTTCTGAAGCAAATCAATGGCACTGTATGTAAATGAATGAGACATGCCATGCAGGGAATCCTGCAGGGAAGGTGTGCGCTGCATACATGGAACAGCTTTTGCATGCCTGCAGCCTTTGCTGATCATAAGACAGATAGATTGACTCCATTACGGAAGCCGCACAAGGGCCCTGAGATTGCAAGACCTGAGCAGGGCTGTTGAGGATCTGGGATCTATGCAGTTCAGAGGGTCATCGAATCATAACAATCATAGAATCATAGAATTACAGAGTTGGAAGAGACCACAAGGGCCATCCAGTCCAACCCCCCTGCCATGCAGGAAATCCAAATCAAAGCATCCCCAACAGATGGCCATCCAGCCTCTGCTTAAAGACCTCCAAGGAAGGAGACTCCACCAGACTCCAAGGGAGTGCTTCCACTGTCGAACAGCCCTTACTTCCCCATAAGCTGAAGCCACCTTGACTGCAAATAACAAGAGCATCCCCATCCCCTGCCAAAGAGGACCACGAGATGGTT